TTATCAAACGAGTTTAAGAGCCGTAATTTTTATGCTCTCATTTTCTCCTTCTACATTTCCCTCCTTGTTTATCTTCTTTAATTTTGTTTTGACTTTTAATCAAAAGACTAGAAAAAGTGAAAGGAAAAGTATGCAAGAAAAGAAAATGCGAATGTATATATCATATTCCAAATTAAAACAGTTCTTTTAACAATAGAAATGTTGGATTTTGGACCACTGGGTCTAAAAGATGAAAGGCCTAATGGAAAGTCTATATTGGACATGTGGGCTTCGAAATAACAGATGGGTTTTACAAACTTGCAGTTGCTGCTGAGCTGATTGTGGGGAAATTTTGAAATTTCTATTATATTCCGGTATATGCATGCATGTTGGCGGAACACGCCGTTGAATGTGCGGTGAAAGATTCAATGAATGAATATTTAACGGTAAAACCTTTTGGTGTCCATACATACTAGAGAAAAAGGAATTAAAAGTGGAGGGCCTCCCCTCCTCGTATCAAATATCATTCCCTAAATCCAAGGAAGCAATGGGGTATAAGAAATCATTCTCGTTAAAGGAATTTGATGTTCAACATTCTAAAATCAATTGGCAATAACAGGAACAATACGGTTTTCTTATGATGTTGGAAAATTAGGCACATCCACACGCTGGCGCCTTTATTTTGATGCACACAAACACAAGAAGGTAAGAAGGGCTTAAATCTCTCCATCCCATAATTCTTCAACAGACTTGTACGGAGATGATCCATCAGCTGAAACCAGGTTTTCTTTAAGCATCATCTTCTTCTGTGGGATTTGATTGATCTTGGCAAGATCATCTTCTGATAGATCCCAGTCAAACACAAGCAGATTCTGCTTCAACCTCTCCTTGTTGTAGCTCTTCACAGCTAGAGTTGCCCCTACCTGGTATACCCATCTAATGCAAACCTGCCAAATTTACCACAAACTCACCAAGTTTCAGTCCATTGATTAGTGGGTACTAATTCTAATTTTGGTTGAAAAATCGTTAATCATGTTTGTTTCTGCTTATTATTCCCAATCAGATATTTCCTGGTGTGAACTACATAAATTTCATGACTGTTATGTGAAAACGACCATTAAGTCTTACCCAATAGGGCCAACACCGATATTGACACCAATTTAATCACTCTAAGTCTAATACTAAGTTGGATTAGGCTCAATGAACATATACTGGCGTGTAGTTTTATCTAAAAAAATATCGATGATGTTAATGGATAACCACATTGTTTTAACTTGTATCGAGCCACACTACCCCAACACAAAAATATCATCAAGAAAAACGAAATGTGACAAAACCTGAGCAATAGTCTTTCCCCGAGCCTCTGCTATATCCTGAAGCACTTTGCTTTCCAAAACATGATTGGTGCCCCAACTGGAACCAATTGCACCCAGAGGAGAGAATGCAATCACAACTATACCATTGGCCTTGCAGAAGTCTCTCAGCTTCTTCTGTTGCCAGAATGGACTCATCTCGACCTGTATTTACACGCACACACTAACAAATTAGAGATTGGAAAAAGGAAAACAAGTACAACTTTTAGATACAAATTTAAGCAATATTGTAGGTTGAAAAATGGACATACTTGATTTACTGAGGGAGGAATGGAAGCAAAAGAGAGTAAAGTTTCAATCTTTTTGCTAGAGAAGTTGCTGACTCCAATGGATTTGGTGAGGCCAAGTCTTTGAGATTCTTCCATGGCTGCCCACACCCCTTTGAAGTCCATAGGCATAAGGTCAACTAATGGGTCCACCAATTTTCCTGGCTTGCCACTGATAGGCCAGTGAATCAGATACAAGTCAAGGTACTCCAGTTGAAGATTCCTGCACACAATCACACAATCAAATCATCCAGATTCCATACAAAATAAACTCCATTTCATAAATGTCATATTTTGAGAAGAAATTCTTATGTCCTGTTGAAGGAATGAAGTGTGTCCCGATGGGTTTGGGGTTAGCTTCTAGGGTAAGCTACTATGGGTGTATCTCTAGGGTAAGCTTAAGCCCATACTTGTTGTAAATCTGTTTTTCCTTAATTTAAGGGAAGTGACTGATTAGTGTAAAGTAGATAAAGCCCTTCCTTAATCCAAGGGAGGTGACTGATTGGGTGACGTAGGTTAGCTCTAGTTGGCTGTGATAGACAGCCCTCTTTTCTTCCTACTAGTTAGCTGCTTGTTGCAGCTAACTACCTGGACCTCTTCTTTCCTTCCTCTCTCATATACACCTTGTCTCTTGTACAATACAAACATGTGAAATACATTGAAACTTAAAGCTAGAAAATCCACATATGTGACAGTCAATTACTAAGAGGGAATGTTCAACCACTAAGTAATTTGACTGTCGCCAAACACGTATTCCTTTGATTTTGGTTAATCTGGCTCCATTTGTATCAATGCGACATCTTCTTACTGGATAGTCCTACAAATCCAAGATTCTCTAGTCTATATGTAGGGAGGTCTTGGTCCCAAGTGCAAAACTTATGCAAGGTTCCCCTCTTATAAAGAGGGTTAGGCTCCGTTTGGGATTGAGGTGATTTTAAAAAAAGCCATTGTGAAAAAAAGCTGAGGGTCATTTTTGTGTTTGGTAAACTGAAAAAAAAGGGCTTATTTTGGAAGCTGCTGTGAGAATAAGCTGAAAATCAAAGGAAAAGCTGAAGCTGCTATTTGCTGCTTTGAAAAAAAGCCAGTTTTTTCAAAGCACACGGAGCTACAGTGCTCCTTTAATGAAAAGACACACTATCATCCTGCTTTTTTTTCCAAAAGCACTTTCACAAAAAAGTTTACCAAACACTCTACTGGCTTTATTTCACAGCCGCTTATTCTCACAGCACAGCCGCTTATTCTCACAGCAGCTTTTTTTCAAAGCACAGCAATACCAAACCATCCCTTAGACAGTCGACCTAATCCGACTGTGAGACACAAAAACTTGCCTACACATAGATGCCACGGTGGCTTTATTTCAAACCAACTATATACAACTTTCACTCAGTAAACAGTTTGATTAAACTATTAGCTTGAGTAGTCAGATATAGGTAAGTAGTAATTTTCCAAAGTAACTACCTAATACTTACTGAAGTGATTTCTTGAGAGCTGGAAGGACGAGATCAGGGTGAGCATCATTACTCCACAGCTTTGAAGTGATGAATAGTTTGTCTGGAATCAACAAGGCCAAGTTCTAGAGCTTCTTTAATGGCGTCACCAAGAGTCTGCTCGGAGCCATATATGGAAGCTGTATCAAAATGCCTGTAGCCTAGCTTGATGGCCTCAATCACCGCCGTTTTCAACGCGTCAGGCTGTAAGTTGTCGGCCGCCGTGCCGAAGGCGAGGACGGGCATGCTCTTGGGGCCGGCGGAGGAGCCGAGCACCACTTCCGGGATTTGGCTTGCCGCTGCCATCTTTGATCAAGACTCGAGTATTGATTTGAAGTTTGCTTTTTTGATTTTTCATTCCAAGTGAAGTTTGCTTTTAAACCGCAAAAGTTTCTTGTATTTGTCGGTCTGCAATCGTCATTGGTTATGTAACTCTCAACATCCTATCTTCTCATTCACTTTTTATTAAATTTTTTAATTACAAATTTGTAAATTTGTAAAATGACTTCAAGAACATTAATTATCCTCTAAATAAAAGGGTTGGGTTGCACACTTAGTCTATTTTAAACTCTAACTCATTTTTTCATTTCCTTTCATTCAGATAAAGCAGAAAAAAAAAATATTTTCCATTGAAGAAGTAGAATCATTTGAATTTCCCACATCGTATATACGTTATTGTCGAAGTTTTCCTTTTGGATTTTGATACCTTGGTGTTTTCAAATTGAATTTGCATACCTGTGACTTCAAGATCAGAAAAAAGGATTTGGCCAACATTATTTTTTTTTTTTTTTGCTTATTTGAATTTGGCCAATATATGTTGAGAAACACAAATTTCACCTACGAAAATCTTTAAGCAAATCAAACAATCATTTCCTTTTTTGCTGTTTCATTGACGTTTGAGAACGCTTGAAATGAATCTGCAACACCCTGGCACGAGAGCTAGTTGAAACACCACGTCCGAGATGCATTATGAAAATTATATGCTGTTTTATAATTTTATATGTATGCATATTTAAAGGTTATTTTGGGAACAATAGTGGGAGGTTAAATAGTATTTTAATTTTTTAACTTTTTAAGGTGGGTAAGATTATAACATGGGTGGAGAAATAAGATAATGAGGTGGGTCTAATAGTTCTCATTATAAATTGATGCCCACATTTTTTATTATTAATAATCACTCGGTGACTTAGTGGTTTGGAATTAATTCCATGCCAGTATTTTATATGGTACGTTTTTTGTTCAATTCCTAACGCTTGTGAATCATATGACGATAGTCATGGAGAGGTTAAAATGTTTTTGTTAATCTTTCTTACCCTGAAATGTAAGTTGCCGTGACGATTTAAAAATAAATAAATAACAACACTGCGAAATTTTTTAGATGATGACAATAATGTTTGGAATACAACATAGCCAATCATATGAGTCAAGGTAATTTTTCAATTCTGCAACTCAAAAACTTCCTTGACAAACCTTCTTGCTCCTTCTTGCTCCTTCTTGCCTGTAGAACTCTTCAAAAACTCTGCATACTTGTAGTTCCGATACAATGTAGAGTGTTGCTCATCAATCAAATCCTTAATTGGGCCAATCACAGTGTCCCTGTTGGGTCCATAAAACATTGCCAATGACAGACGTGGCTGAATTTTGTTGGTCACTGCCCTGTGGGCTGTGGTGCACACTCTTATACCTTCCATTACTCAAAACGTACATAAAAAAAGGAGAGAATTCAATTTAAATATGAATCAATATAACCCATAAAGCAACTGTGAAATACATACAAATAGAGTATAAATAGCATATAAATCACGGTTAATTACCCATTTATTTTCTGTTTAGTATCGTTGTTTTTGTTTATAAAAATTTGTAGCCGGTTTTATGAAAGCATCTGAATTTGGTCTTTAAGATTGATAACAAAGGCATTGGGGGAGAGAATCGACAGCAACCCATTTCCCATCTTTGATCACTTGAAGGCCAGTCACTCCCTCTGTCTGCTTGAGTACTGTGAGTGCATTGAGATCAGTATGGATAGCTAGTCCAAGTGTGACCTCAGGGTCTGGACATGGTGGATGGTAGTTTCCCTGTGCTTTCAGAGTAGGATTATCATCCAGCTTCTTTTGTAAGCAGTCCTTCTCTAGTCCAAGCCCCTGGGATAGCAATCCCAAGAGCGTTTTCATCAATCTGCCATTCTCCTTTGCATATTCAGCAAAAACCTCAGTAACAAAACGACAAACAAAAGGGAAATTAATACACAGAATTAGAATAAAGTTACAAACTTTTAATTAAATATAGAACTCGACGGCACTGAAGGGACTATAAGATGTGTATGAATTATGGTTTAGTGCTCATTTATTGACATCTTAGTACTCTATTTCCTATAGTTTAGATTAGTTTAAAGTAGAATATATCGCTCATATTAAAAAGGAAAAAAAATTATCCTGGTACCCGTATTGGGGAGGATTTTCAGGCAAGGAATTAAGAGGATGCCAAAGATGTGAGAAGGTTTCACTCCACATAGTGACCTTTTGCTCTTGCCCTTCAACTTTGAGGTAGAAATTGAAAAGCTTTACTTGCTTGGAGTGATCAGTGGTGAAGTATTTTGCCCTTTCTTCAGGAGGCAATTTGAAGAACTGGGCCATGGCAGTCATCATTCTATTGCAGAGTTCCTCAGGTACTCCATGGTTGATGATCTGGAAAAATCCATACTCCTCACAAGCTCGTGAGATCTTCTGAACCAATGGGGATGGTCCATCGCAGTTATTGCTGCTGCCTTGGTCGTGTTAGGAGTATAATGGAGAATGTGATGTATTGGGTTGTTGACACTTGTCACAATCCTAGATTAGTTAGTTAGCTATATTGATTAGATTGATGAGATTGGGGTATTGAGATATAAAACTGAAGTTGTAGAGCAGAGTGCTTATTATTCTAAATAGGAATAACAAAATACAGATTGTTCTCTCTCCCTCTCGTTTCTTTGTCTCTTCTACCTTCTTCTTCAACTATCTTAACATGGTATCATCGCCGAATAAGCTTCGTTGCAAGCTTTTTCGATCATTGGTTCTTTGCTTCCGCTACCTATTTCTTTCTTCTACGATCTCTCTGTGATTTCTTTCTGATTTTCTGGGTTGTGATTCTTACCAATTCCTACGTTCTGTATTCTGCAAGTTCTTGCGCATCAGGTGTTTGTTTTTTGTTCTCAAAGAAAACTGATCAACCAGGTGTTTATTTTTTCATCCGTTTCAACATCGGTTTCAGTCAAGTTGAATGAGCTAAATACCGACAACATGGTTCCGCTCGTTTCTTCTATACTTCAATCGATTTCTTGTTTGATTTCTTGATTCTTGATCAAGATTCAATTTTTTTTCTCTGCTGTATTTGCAATAACTTCTCGATTTTTCTGCTCGGTTCCCTCAGTTTGATTTGTCTGTAACAAATTTGGGGTTTCTCTTCTAAATCTCTGTTTGGGTTGTTCATTTCTACAACAAAAGTTATGGTTACAGCTGCACAATTGCAACTTTTGCAACCCTTAATTGTATCGTTGCTTACGTCTGTTTCTTTCTCTGTTTGTGTAAAATTAGATGACACCAACTACTTGCAGTGGCATTTTCTGATGAAGATGATGCTACAAGGTCATGGCCTATTGGGATTCATTGATGGATCGAATCCTTGTCCTCCTCAGTATTCAGCAACCTTTACACATTCTGTAATCACATATTAGTCATCTGCCAGACCAGAATTAGATGAATTTAAAGTGTGGAAAATGCATGATTAAGCTTTGATGTTGTTACTTACTGCAACACTTTCTTCATCTGCAATTTCTTGTGTGATTGGTAACAAGAGTTATCAAGAGATGTGGGTTCGTCTTCAAAACGAATTTTTCTTACCAATCACAAGAACTAGTATCATCAAGTTAAAGTCTGATCTGTATAACATTAAGAAAGGATTTGATTCAATTTCCCAGTATCTTCGAAGAATTAAAAAAAGCAAGAGATGCACTTTCTATTCTTGGTGTTACATTTCCTAATGAAGACATTGTGATCATTGCCTTGAATAAACTCCATGTAGATACAACACATTTAAATGTGTAATAAAAAGGCGTGAGAATGTCATTTCACTCAAGGATTTTCGTGCACATCTGCTCACTGAGGAAGCCATTGTGGATTGTGTTCCTGTGCCACATTTCTTGTCTGCTATGGTATCTAAATCTGAGACAAAAGGTTCTTCCTTTCCTCTCTCTAGCTCTCATTTTCATGCTAGTCAATCAAGTAATATACATGGTAATAGTGTTACTGGTTACAATGGTGGCTATCATGCTCAATCCAATTGTAATTTAGGCCAATCTAGCTATGATAATGGGGCTTACAATGGTTATATTTTTGGTCAGTCGAGCAATGGTAAAAATGCCGGTGGTTATAATGGTGCTTATAGGAATTTTCAGTCCAAGAATTGTGGTAAAGGTCGGTTTCGTTATAATAATGGTGAAAGATTTAATATCTACAAGTCTTTTCCTCAATTTTCACTAAGAGTTCTTGGCTCACCTCCATCTCCATATCTTAATTCTCTACCACCTGAATTTCCTACACATCAAATTTGTTCACAGAAAGATCATTTTGATGCTACTCAATCTTTAGTTTCAACTCCTGAATTATGTCAATGCACATTGGATCAACAACTTAAACTAGTGTGTCCAGTCATCCTGCAAAATCATGAAACACCTTTACTGAGCAATTATAATGTTGACATTCACACAGCTTATGATCGCAAGTGTGGTTCTCTCTCTCACTTCATTATTTCAGAAGATGAAATGTTTTTAACTGATGCAGAAAAACAAGTTTTGGAATGTATTGACAAGGAAAGTGCAGATCTCAGTGGGTTTACAACCGTGTATTCAAGTGACATTTCCAATTCTTAACTTTGACAACAAGGCGAAAATTGGTGTTCCTACTCAAACTGTTGTACATTAGTTCCGAGGATTTTATGTACTTCGGTTATGCAATGGTGGAAGTATATTTGATATTCAGTTAGGCTACCATATGATAATTTTTTATAAGGGTGGGGGCACCAAGTCTATGTTGATTTGGGTACTATGGTATACACGATAAAATGGTGGTAAAATACAAGCTCCAGATGCTAGGAGGTTTTCTTATTGCAGACTATGTGTGAAGCAGTGATCAGATACTCCACTCTCCAATTGCAAGGAATACTATCCAAAAAGAGTTTAGATTGCCAAATCTCATGGTTCATGCTAAAAGCCATATTTTTTTAAGTTTCTACTAGTGGCTGCAGTAAGAATAACAAATCTTCATCCATGAATTGTCTACACTCTGCATTGATTTTTTTTTTTTTTTTGACAACTTGAATGCTTTAACCTCATGATTGGGTGCCCCAATCTTGAGTTTGAGGGGGGATGTTAGGAGTATAATGAAGAATGTGATGTATTGGGTTGTAGACACTTGTCACAATCCTAGATTAGTTAGTTAGCTATATTGATTAGATTGACGAGATTGGGGTATTGAGATATAAAACTGAAGTTGTAGAGCAGAGTGCTCATTATTCAGAAATAGGAATAACAATATACAGATTGTTCTCTCTCCCTCTCATTTCTTTCTTTCTTCTATCTTCTTCTTCAACTATCTTAACAAGTCGTTCAAATCAATGGTGGGGATTGATTCCAGAGCTGAAACATTTGAGAGGTGTGGCCTGTGATTCTCTGGGAGAATGAAGTTTGGAGAGAGGGATAGAGGAGTGGTGTCTTTCGCCATTTGGAAGGATGCCATCTTTTGAGGATGAAGATTGTTTGAGTTTGATGAGGTGATCTAAATGGAACTGTTGTACGGACAAGGACACGGTTGTGGGTCGTTGAGCATTGGGGTAGTTGGGTGTCATGCGCACGCAGCCAACCGAACTAATTCATAGGTTAGGGATTGAAGTCAGTGCAAGTGGATGTGCATACTGCCTCGAGTAACTAATCCAATTCACAAGAGAAACTTTCATGGATGAATGACCATTGTAGCATGATTAACATCTTGTACCAACGTTACAACACATGAAGAAACATTTACGCATAATTTGTTATTGGTAGCATCTACTTTTGCCATTGAAGTCATTCTCTAACTTTACATATATGCAATGTGTTATTTTAGTTAGTTGGCATAGTCAACTTCAAAGAAAGAATCATTGAAGTTACAATTTTCTAAAAATTCTACTATGCTCTAGTGTATGACATTGTGTGCTATAATTTATAGTTTTGTCGACAATTAAAACCATAACAATGGGCTGGTAAGCAGGGCCGGTCTAGAGATTTTTTAGGCCTGGGACGACGCTAAAAAATATGCCTTAACTTCACATAAGAAAATTATTTATTTTCACATAAAAGACATCGATAAAATTATACTTAGAAAAACATTTCGAACTCAATAATTTTGAAACACAGAAAGACTAATTTATTTTGTATCAAGAGAAGGAAACCAAAAAACACCCGGCTTACAAGTAGATAAATGAGTTTTGTTTTCCATCTGAACTTTTAAAGTATTTTTGTATAAATCGTGAGATGTTTTTTCTTATTTACTAACTTTGTCAATATGGGACTAAAAAAATAATAATGTTTTCGAGTCTTTAATTGATATGCATAAGTAATGAATGGGCACTAACTTAAACCTTATGATGACACGTCATATGATTTGTAAATTTGCTCTAAAAATGTGGTCTACGCATTACTGTTTGTTGAATATTAGACTTGAATTTGAACGAATATTTAAAAATAGCAACCCATATAGCTACTAGCTAGTAACTAAAAATAAATTAACAACCAAACAAAAATTTGTTAAAACTGAAAAGAATAAACACGCACATAGCATTTCAAACTTGGGACCTCTCGTTAATTTTAAACAACAAAAATCATTGCTTTTAATTAAACTTCTTGAGTATTTAACCAAATTTTATAAATTTATACTCTTATGAAAAAAAAATTGTAAAAATTGGAAAGTAAATAAGCACACGTGGTGTCTTAAACCCAAGACCTTCTCATTAATTTCAAATTACAAAACCACCACCTCTAGTTAAATTCCTTTATCATTAAACCAACTTTTTAAAATGGGATACTTTGGATGTGGTCCCTAATCTTTAACATTCTTTGACTAAAACCTTAATGGTATTCAAAGTTTGATCAAAAATCCCTTGACTTTGTACACCTCATTATATTACAATAAATATTTATATTTTTTATAGTTTTGACATTAATTGTTTGATATTTTATGAGATTTATAATCCTATAAATTTAAAATCCCTCATTATAATACTATTAGAAACTGTTACAATAAAAAAATTCAAACATTTTGATTGAATAAATGGATAAAAAACTATGTAAAAATAAGAAATAATAAATGGCAAAAGAATGTATCCATAGTGTTAAAAAAAATTGGTACATTTCACATATAACAAGGTGGTACATTAATAAAGAAGAATGGGTACATTGTAAATAAATTAGGGTACAGATAAAAGATTAAAACATTATGACTACAAATGATTTTTTAAAAAATATAGGTGGTAAAAGAAATTTATACATGGGTACAAAATAAAACTAAAAAGAAAATACTACAAATTTAAAAAAAAAATGTTGCAAATTAAAAGTGGGTACAAA